TAACAACGAAGCATTAAATAACTATTACAACTTTTAATGCTTGTTCTCTGAATGGATAACTGTCATAGCTCGACTACTGTTCTACTGCGATTGATTGATGATTATAGTGTATACTGTGGAGCGCCGTCAACTGTTTGATGCACATTAGCCATCCGTAAGTGTGTCATTGACATGTCTTAGGAGCTGATGGTACTCTCCTTGCTGGAACGGATAAACTCTACGTGGCGTACCTACACTTCATATCCCATAGCGTGTCACCACTCTCAACGGGACAGCTCCAGCACGGGTCTCCTCTGCTCTCGAAATGTATACGATGAGTGCATAGGAAGAGACACAGAAACAAGGAAGAGAAAGGAAAAGGTCTCGCACCACGAAACCACAGATCAGAGGCAGCCAGGGACGCTTTGACATTCTCCTCCAGACCACGGGTTAAAATTCATCCGTTCGTTAGACACTATGCAGAGAAACATCAAATAAGACGCACTATGAGTCCTTGTATCGTTTGTAGTTTAGCTATGATACGTTAATGTAAGTATAATAAGTATACTTATTCTAAGAAGCGCTGGTAGTTTTATGCGCTAGAAATATTTATGCATGCAAATTATATGTTTACAAATCTAAGTTGAGAATATATTTCACGAGAAATGGTTAAATGATAGAGCATTTGGTTACGACAAGCGTGAATTTGCCCGAATGACATATACATCTTTATGCACTAGAGAAACAGAATAAGCAAGAAGCAGATGCTTTCTGAGGGGAAGGTTTGAGAAAGAGGGTGTTTTGTCAGCATCCCAATCTGAGGTTGCCAAAAGAAAGTGTGAAGTGTCAAGCCTTGGCGATAAACCGATGGCAGCAGATATTACTTTGGCGGCGCGTTGTTGATTTGCTTTATGAATTTTTTACGATGGAATCTATTTTAGTGTTTCGCCGTCAAAAATTCGAAAAAAATTGTAAAAACATTCAATTTACATGCTGCCAAACAGCATTGATTATGCAAAATATGCAATATGCAAGATATTTATTACTTTATTTTCAATATTTTATCATAACATATGATACTTGAAGTGTCAGGAAGATATGACCATTTGCAAAAAAAACATGCACTTCCATGAACTTCCAGCTCTACTATAATCAACAAAAGACGTGAGAAAAGTTATAAATTGATCTCGTGAAACATCAACAATAACAATTTTTTTTTTTAAAGACAGCGGCTGTGCTGGCTGTTGGTTAGAACCCCGTCGGTCGCGTTTCATGAGCAGTCGGTGGGGGGGGGTGAGGGGGGCGCATTTTTGGCGTGCGGGCGCGCGGGCCGGCCGCCGCTCGAGGTCCAAAGCGGCAGCTGCGTGGTGGGGCGGGCGGCGCGCGCCAGGTGCTCCGCGCTGCGACCCGCCATCTGGCGCCTCCTGCCGGCAGCTGCCCGCGCGCCTCAGCCCCCAACACTGCGCGCCCGCCAGCCCCACGTGCGTCAGCCTCCTCCGCGCCTCCTCGCTCGGTCGTACTCGGTATATAAAGTAAAACCGCTATACTGACTGTCTCGTGGATTCCCGTGTCTCTAGGATTCGTGTGTATTGTCTGCGACGTGCGTGATGCTTTAGTCGATTTGTACTTTGCGCGGCAACATCTACCATCCCTTGAAAAGTTTCAGTGCCAAAAGTATGGAAATTTTCCATCGGAATAATCGAAGACGAGAGTGATATATTTTTAGACTCTTATTCTCGACGACATGATCTTTCATTTATTAAAGTTCTAGTATAATTCGAAGTTTCTTTACACACTCTGTCTTTTTAATGCCTCATTCACGTGTTAATGTAATACGAATAAGTTAATTTGAATGTATTATATGTATACCGTATTACCTCCCCCTCCCGCGTCGTCTTCAACACTGCTGCCACCGTTGCAGTCCTGCGGGAACACGGTGGCGAGGTCCACGTGCGTCAGCCTCCGCTCCTCCTCACTCGGTCGCGCAAGGAAAGATACAAAGTCAACCGCTATACCTACTGTCTCGTGGATTCCCGTGTCTCATGGATTCGTGTGGATCGTTTCGCAACGTGCGCGATGCTTTAGTCGATTTGTAATTCGCGCGGCAACATCTACCATCCCTTGAAAAGATTCAGTGCCAAAAGTATGGAAATGTTTCATCGGAATAATCGAAGATGAGAGTGATATATATGTAGATTCTTATTCTCGTCGACATGATCTTTCATTTATGGATTTGTTTTGTAAGAAGATTTATTAAAATTCTAGTATGATTCGAAGTTTCTTTACACACTCGGTCTTTTTAATGCCACATTCACGTGTTAATGTAATATGAATAAGTTACTTTGAATGTATTATACACACACACACACACATACATATACACAGTATTACCTCCCCCTCCCCCCGCGTCATCTTTAACACTGCTGCCACCGTTGCGATCGTGCGCAGGAACGGAGCAGCGATGCCCACGTGCGAGATCCTCCTCTGCCCTTATTCGGTCGCGCAGTAAGAGATACATAGGCAACCGCTATACTTACTGTCGCGTGGAGTCTTGTGTCTAGGATACGAGTGTATTGTCTGCGACGTGCGTGATGCTTTAGTCGATTTGCAATTCGCGCGTTAACATCTACCATCTGCCTTGCAAAGTTGCAGTGTGTAAAGAAAGTATGGAAATTTAAAACTATGGAAAGTTTTCATCGACATTTTTCAAGTTACGAGTGAAATTCTATACAGATTCTTCTCTACGACATGATCTTTTATTATTTGATTCATCCTCTAAGAAGATTTATTAAAGTTTATAAAAGTTCTAGAATGAATCGAAGCCTTTTTACACACTCGGTGATTTCTAATGCCACATTCTTGTTTTTATGTATTATAAAGATATTTTATGTATGTTTTAATGTACCGTATTACCGCCCACCCACGTCATCGCCAACAGTGCTGCCAACGTTGCGGCCCCGCGCGGGAACGGGGTGGCGAGGCCCATGTGTGTGATCCTCCTCTGCGCCTACTCGATCGCGCAAAGAGAGGTACGAAGTTGATCAGTACTCTCTGCCTCGTGTATTTTTGTGTCTCTAGGATGTGACATGGTGCATTGCCTCGCAACATGCGTCAAGATTTAGACGATTTGTAATTTGCCCGGTCACACGCGCCTTCCCTCGAAATGGATCTGTGTAAGAAGTAGCGAAATTTTCCATCGACTCGGAATGTTCGAAGTCACGAGTCAACTTCTCTCTGGTTTCTTATCTAAAATGAGGCAATAACAGAGAGAGATTCAAAGTCACTAAGGATTCGCCGCATTATCTCGCAAAATGCGCGATGATTCAGTCGATTTGTAATTCGCGCGACATCTACCCCACCTTTCGCGAGATTGAGAGCAAACAGAAAATGTATTTTCTTTCCGCCTAGTGATTGTACATAAAGTCAAATAAGAATAATAAACTGTTTGGTTTTCAATATCATCTCAACATGACTGTTGATCGTTTCATAACGAACTGTATTCATGTTCGTTTTAAATTGATTTGCTATTTGATCTTATTTTATTGAACCTCAGAAACACTACTGACACCGCTTCCGCCGCAATCCCACCTGGTCATTTCTCACCTTCTGCTTTATCGACTGCACTTGTCTCGGAATACTGACATCCGCAAAATGTCATACTTGGCGGCAAGTTGTAGTTCGCGCGGCACAACCACGTGCCTTAAGTCAGAGAGGGTCAACGTCTCCCATTGGTTCGCCGTGTTTAACGACGAAGATAAAACTCAATTTAAAAATTAGAATTCTTTGCGTAACCGAATGCTCTTCGCTCTTGTCAAGAAGCCTCTGATCATCCTCAGTATGACCACCATACACTTACTATCGTAGAAGTTGGCAACATTGGAAATTGGAGCCACTCCCGCCGCTCTTCTTACAGCTACGCGCATGCAAATGTTCGTATTTGTGACACTTCGCTTAGTTACGGCAGCACTTGTTTAAAGATATTGTTGAAAGATTTACATTCAACACTGAGTAATGATGATATGCAAGTATGTCTTTAACTTAAAAATATGAATATTACAAAAATAATATGAGTTACTAAGCAAATTATAATTCAGTTCAAGATTATTAGTAGCGATACAAATAATAATAATAGTAATAGTAATAATAATAATAATAATAATAATAATAATGTAATTAACCAAATTTTTCATTAGCGAATTAAATATACTCATTAATTCCATGATAAATTATTGATTATCGTTATATTATAAGCCCGCGTGTAATTAAAAATCCACCACTAAAAATCCACCAATCCATCATTCACTCACGGTGACCAATCGAGACATATGAGGTGACATTCGACACGTCTCGGTCTCCTGGTGGAGAAATTATAATTTGTTTTCTACTCCGGGCAGAAAATTCTGAAAATTTTTCAAAAACCGGTTTTGGAGTATTTTAGGCTGCTACCTTAATGGGTAGACAGAGAATTAAACCAATGTCACCTAAATAGATCTATAGAGGTGGCGTTGATTAAACCCCATTACCACAGATGTCTCAAAGGACCCCTGCACTCCGTGGTTATTTTCAGTCAAAGACAACATCATTTTCTTCCATGAGGATGTCAGCACGGTTTGTTGACAAACGAGTAATATTAAATGAATGTCGCGCAGCAAAATTTGATGTGAATTCATAAAAGTGCATTCACAAGTATTTTATGCGTATTTTTTATACTAAATTTTCAAGTAACCTAGGAAATTAAATTTGAAGAACATTAAGGGAATACTGAGAAAACAAAAACTGTAAGTAATACTAGAGAATACATTTGTTAAGCGTATAAAGATTGATTTTCAATTTAATGTAACTTACAACTTATTCATATAAACATACAATAGTAACCTTTTAATGCTCGTATTATTCGCCTTCAAAACTCCAATCAGACTGAGTTTGAGAAGTTTTAAAATCATAAAAAGTTGGAGGACCAAAATAGGGAAGTATTAAGCGACTCAGGGGAGTCAAATATAGTTGTACTAGATATTGCGACAGAATTTCCCGAACTAATTGAGAATGTTCATGTATTAGCATTAGAAAACAATGCAGGAGAACAGCTTACAGGTGATTATTTATGTTCATATTAGAAAACAAAATGTAAAAAATATATCTGTTCTAAATTCTAACTATTCGCATCATTCACACCTGCAATTTTTTTAAGGCGATTATAATTTTGAAATTGCAATATTACCAATTCATATCCCGTATAGAGGTAACATACAAGGCCATTGGATGTTGGAAGTTTTTGAGCGGGAGTATAACATTAACAGCTATTACGATTCATTGGTTAGTCCTATGCCAGATACTGTAAGAAATATTTGAACAAAGCTAGGCATGAAATAAATGATGCATGAAAGAAATTTTACACACATAAAAATACTTTTAAAACAGTTTACAGCATTGGTAATGCCACATTCAACTAGTACAGTGATATTTAGTGCATTCATTCTTTTTTTCTAGTTGTTTAAAATTACTATTTTGTAAAAACTCACCTCTTTATTTCTTTATATTAATTTTAATTATAGATTTTACTGTTAATTTTTTGAGTTGTTGATATTATTTAAAAGAGAATTTTCCTATAATATTGTTTTCGTAGATTGAATTTCGCTAGGGTCATACCATTGGCCCAAGTTACATATACTCCAGCTACACCACAGTAAACGACTAACCAATCAATTGCATTTCTCTATACTCTTTTTCTCTTTGCTTAATTTACAGAACAGTATGCGAATTACACATATGTGGGAAAACAAGATTAGAGGAATCATGCAATGGTAATTCACCTAGACAAAAAATGTGTATGTATTGAGGATTAATTACGAAATTGTACGAAGGGGACATTGAAAAGTATTCTTACAATACAAAAATGAAAGTGTTTCATTTGAATATATTTTTGGTGAACAGACTCGAAAAGTATCTCAAAAACACGTTTCACTCCTCAAACAAATATGTTTAACTCGGGACAACTCCCAATCGATATTTTAATTCCGCCAATATTAAAGAAAGGCGATTGACGGTCTGAACGCACACTTGAAAGGGTAGAACTTTTCTGACAGAAGCAGGTACGAGAGAGAAATCAAATAAAGACGGTTCTTGTGCACGCTGTATCTTTGTGACGATCTTCAAAGAAAATTCACCACTGCTAAGAACTGCTTGGCCGCCCCGCCCCGCCTCCGCGCCGGCAGCCCTCGGGTCGCGTCCCTCGCTCCCCCTCGCCCCCCACCCTGCGCAGGTACCGCGCCCCGCGGCGGCGCGTCGGTCCTCCGCCTTTAATGCCAGAGAGGAGCGCACGGCTTCGCTTCTCTTCGCTTGTCCTTGTCCTTGGGCCCGGCGCTCCCGCTTTCCTCCTGGCTTCTCGGCGTCCCGCTTGGCCGCCCCGCCCCGCCCCGCCCATCGCGCTCAAGGGCCCCGCTGCCGCGCAACGGACGACGCCGCGCCGCGCCGCGCCGGTCGCGACCGCATAAAGGCGGCTCCACACATGCGTTATGCGGCGAGTAGTGGGGATGAGTTGAGTTTTTGCCTAGGGAGATGGCGCTGATCTTCACCCCTCAGGTGGCGAGATCCGGCGCCCACCTTCCGGACACGGCTAGTGGGGTTTTCCCCCGACCAGGTATCTCCCACCAGCGGGACACCGCCCCACCCGAGAGAAACTCTAAGCTCCTCTTCAGTATCTCGGCATGTGTAGGGCATATTAGGGTAAGAGGATGTAAGGGTGAGAATAGGACAAGGGAGAGAAAGGAAAGATCGAACGCAGCCCGTTTGCTAGGGTAATGCTCCAGCATTCGCCACGTCTTCATCGGAGAAATCTCGAAAAACTACCGATTCTCTTCCAGACAGCGGCTGAATTCGACCTACCTGACAAGCTGGTGCCGAAAATTCCGCCACCGTCGGGAATCGAACTAGGACCTTGCGGTCAGTGGAACTGCAGTGACTTCAGTTGATTCACTCAGCGATCTCTCCCGGTATCTCTCTCAGTTTGTTGTCTGACATCACTTTCGCTCTCGAGACAGCTTCCTGAGACTCGATAGTCACTGTAGTTTCGAGACCAGGAACACTTCATGTCCACTTGAGAGTCAACTCACAGTCATTAGTGTGATCTGATAACAGTTTGTTGGTTTTCGGCTATCCTTTTGTAATGGATTCGTGTCAATCCCTAGCTTTTATAATTGGGAAAAAGGAGAAATTAAAACAAGGGAGTGTTGGGATATGATATGGGCGGATCTACAAAATAAATTCGAAGCTTGTTCAACAGTCGTTGATGAGACACACTTTTTAAATTTTGTTGCAAATTTATAAATCATAAACATTTTATCGCGATTCCTATACAATTAGTTTTACATTCCACAAAAAAACGCGTTTCTCATAGAGATGGATTAATTTCATCATTTTCTGGAGAGTCCAATCTGATTGATCAGGCATATTCTTCGAGTCTCTCATATTTAAAAAAATTAAACAAAATAAAAATTAAAATAAAATAAATACACAGAATTC